TACCGCTACAGATAAATAAATAAAGTGATTGAAGGTAGAAGGGTCACAGCATCAGGAGCTTCACAAGGAACGGTTTTAGGTCTACTTCTGTCCTTGATCTTTTCGACGATATGACCTGTTCAGACAATACAAAGATTAAGAGGTACATAAAAAGCGAAGAGTGTTCACTAGAGCTTGAATAGAACCATACAATTATAGAAAAATAGGCAACAGATAATCAGTCAAACAGTAACTTTTGAAAAAGGATGCAGCCAAGAGAAACACAACTCACCATTCTATGCTAAGAAAACCCAACAGACATCTTAAAGTTGCTCCTAACACCGCTTACCATTTACACACAGACTCATTTTGAAGTATACACTGTCGTTGCATCCATTCTCTTTAAAGTAGATAAAAACCTCTCAGACTAAGTACACAGACGGCTAATCAAGCTAGTAATAGGTTTAGAACATAAACCTCACAAATACGGACCAGTTAACTAACATAGACTGATCACAAGGACATTGGATATTGACACATTTCGAAGTCCAGTTTCGTTACCACGAAAGCAAAAAGGCGGTAGAGTGATTATCTTGAAGATGGGTTTGTGTGAGTATATTGTAATTGTCTTATAAATCACATTTATGCGAATTGCTTCATGCTTACCATTAAAGACTTTCGTTTAAACCTTACTAAGTTCCGCAAATTCCTACCATTTAAGCTTACGAACTTCGGGCACTTTAACGCGCGTTAACAATTTTAATATTACTCAGGGCACTCACAGTTACTATTTATAGTTAGGGGATGAAAAAGATATTTGATTGCGCTAATACAACTTCAGTCTGTTGTTTGCGACGCATCATATTCAGTATGCAGGTTTTCAAACAATTTTTGAGAGACGTTTAGAAGCGTTACTGAAATTCTAACGACTTTGGAAGCAAATACTTTGCGATTTGCTGTGATCTGCAATGGAAAGCTCAATGAAAACTCTTGATCACCATAATAAAAAACTTTAGGTATGTTTAAACATTTTATCATGTTGTATGAGTCATAATAACCTTCTTGCATTACAAGGGATTCACTGCTAGTAAGAAACTTCGAAAGAATAAGGGTAGAAGTGGAATATCCTAAAAAGGCATGACTTTCAATGGATGTATAGCTAGTGGACACATTACGATCGGAAGTTACGGAAGTTTCGTAGGCCAAGCGAAAAACAACAAACTGATAGATTGTCGCTTGAATTCAGAGAACCATCGATTTTATGATGTCTGAATACTATCATTGTGTATTGTTGCTCGAAAACAATAGCAAAAAAGGATGAGAGTTCGAAAACGTTGGGTAAATAGTTAGAATAATAGGGGCTCATTTACTGTCTTTTGAAGAAATTCTATCCCACAGATTCCTAATATACATAAAGTACTTTTCATCTTCACCGTCGTTTTATCATCAAGAAAGTTTTCTGTGCATTTTAAAAGCCCTAAATAAATCATAAAATATTCGGATTTTGGGCCTCAGTATACTACAGTTTTTACCCTTTTAGTTTAACCGACATCCGTACACTCCAGAATTTGCATTAGTGGGCAACATATTATCCTTATATAAGGAAGACCTGTCTGATTACTCGTTTGGAATGCTAATAGTTCACCGCTACTACGCATTATATTGCACTAGGTTTCACAACCCCAACTATAAGAAAAATAAATTTTTAATAAATTCGAACTGGATTTATTTTTCAGTAAGTAGGACTGAAGAAAATCAGCAAAACTTACATAGTTAAATAGCGCTGTCAGAAAAAGTTAACAAATAGTCATGAATTCATGTTAAATACTTAGAGAGTTAAGTTGAAAACTTATCTTGCAGCGGTTTGTCTACAAATGGAAAGTATATGTACACCAAATGTGGTTGTAAACTGCATTTAATTTTTATTGTTCTATACGGAGGCTGTAAAGTTGGCCATTGACGAGAGCAAAATGCTGAAAATCGTAGTACTTTATATATAGAGTGAGAGTAGTATTGTTCGTGGTTTGGAACTACCAAACATTAGTTACGATGAATACTAATATGCAATATTGAAATCCTACTTTTAATAAATTTCATAATATAAATGAATCGATCATAAACTGTCAATGTGTCTTTGACAATTTACGAGTTAGGTTGACTGAATTTGGTTTTAGTTAGAAGTTTGGTTGTCATGAGTTGCGGATAAACATTACAAATGATTTTGTATAAATGATTCATTTGTATTTATGTTAGTTGTCATAGTTTTTCTAGTTTTATTTCATGACATTATCATCATTGATGTTGTCGTGAAGTCATTTCCAGTCAAAACGATTACCTGAAAAAGACCTACTAAGAGGATAATTATGCGCTATAAGATATTTTTACTAGCAAAAATCCGCGCTTTGTCAAAAAACTGAGCAAAGGAAAAATGATATTCCATAGTCTTAGACAATAGTGGATTTTTCATTTCACCTGATCATCAAAGACAGTGTTTGTATACTTGTGAGACTCAAGCATGTGAGTTTGCAACTGATTTTCAGGTTGTAGTGCTGTCATAATATTTAATGAAAACAGGTCTTAAAAATGCTTTGTTTTTAAGATAAAACGGGTAAATCAATAACATCAACGTTTCTGGAAACTAATGTTATGTCCTCAGGAGCTACGAAACTATCTGGAAATAAAACATCGTCCTATAACGTTTATGTTTAGTAACAGTAGTCCCCACTAGAATAAAGTTAATAATCTGTTATGTATTTTTTGGTTAAGCTACTTTATCAGCATTTAAACCATATCTACCGCGTTTATTAATGTATACTGTTTAAGCGAGTGGGTTATTGTAGTCAAACCAGTTCTCTCAAATTTTTTGCAATAAAATACTGTTTGAAAGAATGGTAAATAAACTATTGAAGTAAATATGTGTTTGAAAAACTAAGATGTCACAGATTCCAGTTAGAACTCATCGCATATTGTCTACATTTACTAATAACTCTAGAAAAATAATGTTATTCAGCATTTTGAACATGTTTTAATATAAGCATTGAAAAATTGCTCGGAAAAATTGAACCATCTTTAATATATTTTTGAATATATACCCTTTTAAGCCATATTTAAAGCAAAGTGATTACTAAACATTAATGCCGAATGAATATATATTTTGCAAATATAAGAAACAAGCGTAAATTAACAAAATAATCAATGTAAAAGTTGATCGATTGAATGTCATAGGGTTGCGCTTGTGCAAAGTGAACAGATCAGGATTTGGCGGCATATGTAAAATAATTACTCGGTGCTTTATTAATCGCTGCCAATTCATACTAATTGGGTGACTGCTGTAGGTCATGTTAGCTTACCGTGTTGTATTTACTTCTATTTTTAACTAACTTACTCAATCCCAGATAGCACATTGCCGTTATCCTATGTCTCATTGGATGATTTTTTACTCAAATTTTCTGTAATTTATTCGGACTAAGCAAACAATATACTCCATTCACTACGAAAACTGACAGATTATTTTTAGAATACAGTTGATGGAATTGTGTGCTCAGCACGTGTTTATGGATGCAAAATCTTACTTCTTGACTGTTACACTTTTGATTAATTCACTACTTGCAAGTGAAGTATTTGGCTGTATCTATCACTTTGGAGAATATGATATAGAACACTTATTGCTACATTACGTTACATCAATTCATGAAATAACTGTTTGTTGGGGTTTAGGCATTTATTACTAGTGATGACTGAGCACACCGGGCGAAATAACTCGGAATCAATCTCAATGGACCGAAAATATCTATTCTCCGTCTTTACTTGAATTTTAAGTTTTGAAAATATACTATACTTCCGTTCTTCAAGTTAATTCTTTCTTTTCAAATCATATTGTCTGTTCTTAGTCATTTTTTACGACCACTGATTTTTCTTCTACTTCTACTCTAACATTTTTGTTGTTAATCTCATCTTCCTGCAACAATGTGTTTTGGAGACTTAAATTAATGGACGTGTATGCAAGTCTCTATTTTTTGTTACTGACTGGAGTCATCTTGCTCTTATTTAATTTTAAGTGCATAGGGATTTTATTCATTTACAGTAATAGCTCTATAAAAGAAGATTTGATTATTCTACATAATGTTTTTTTTAGAAATTTAAATATTTAATTTACCAAGTTGTCGAGTTTTTAAATACTAAACAAAAATACGACTTTTGGCCAAGAAAATGGTAATAAGAAAACATCAAATTGTGTTTGTTATTACGTCTTTATGTGAGTCACATTTGTCTGAAATCCTATGAGTTTTTAGAAAATTCCCAACTTACACACACCCATAGTGTTAGATATTGATGATAAACATGCTATCTAGCTTAAGTAAATAGCTAAAACCGCTTAGATCCTTTATGCAAATTTATTTGAAATCACAGTAATTAAAATATGTTCTAGACAGCTGTTCTACCGAACAGTTCGAATTTATTTTCCACTGATCTTAAAAACAATTGAAGTTTTGTACATTTCAAATATTCTGTCAGTGACTGGTTGAATTTTAAATAATCTAACATTTTGGAGCAACTTTATGCTCTTAACTCTGTGTGCTGCAGTGTAACTTATAAAATGTCATGGTGCTTCAAATATGTGTCATAATTTTGCTGGACTTTCCGAAAATGGTCATTATTAGATATAAAATAATAGTATTTTCAATCTGGGCAGTTGATTTTTCTGAAAACATTGATTTCAGTATTAGCTGATTCTTCTTAGTGAGGCACGTCGTATCCGTGACCAGTGAAAAAGGTATCTTACAACAGTGGTCTCTAACTGAACGTTAGCTGAAGTAAATCTCCACATGAAACTTATAGTATGGACTGATTTTTGTTTCAAAACGCATAATCTCATGAACTACGTGTTCGTATATCAACAGTTTTCATTCTTGTTCGGTTTTTCCTTACAACTGCTTTTCATAAATTTGTGTCATACTCGACTTTTGAAATTGAGATTTCATTGAAACCGTTTTTAGGCCGATTTAATCACAGCTTTTTTAAAATAATTAACCAGGTAATTTTTCGGATTTTTTATTACTTGACTAATAAAAGGTTTAGCTAGAATAATCAGGATAATCATTTACGTTATCAAAAATGTGAATGTAACAGTCTGATCATCTAACTTTATGAGGTAAATTGGCGGCTTACTTGAACATCTGGGCTACCTGTTTCTACCCTCTAGATATTTCAACAAGTGATCTGTTTCTGCTAGTTCTAAAACATTATTATGTTTATTAATTGCATAACCTAATAAGGTGCGCTTATGAAAAGTTTACAACCTTCCGCCATATGAGTTACAAAAGGACATCGTGGTTGCTGGCAATATGCAGCGAAAAGAAAGAACATTATTCAGGTGTCGACTCCTGGACTGCTTACTTCTAGCTGGCGACCAATCAATATTTATTGTCAGGATCGACCAAGAAGTATGAAACGGAAACTTTTTGAAATACTTTGTGCTGAGAATTCTGTACTGTACCAAAAATATAATGTTGAATAAAGCCAATAATAATAGTAATAATAATAAAGGACTCTTATTCAAGTTTAGATGACCAAATGCCTTAATTTTATGTTATTTTAAAAAAAATTATCTTGCATCAAGCAGTTTTCAGTGTTTAGCAACATGTTATGTGTGAAATAAGATTTTAAGTGAGCCAACGATAATTATTTATAAATATGCTTTTCAACTTTATTTTCCATCATAACTTCCATCTTGTATTCTCACTGTATTATAACTAAGAGAATTGTTAAAATATTTACTATCCTACTCAGTCATAAAAGATGTACTCATTTTATACAACGGTTGAGTTTAGTTATTAATAATTAGTTTCTATGCTTTCATGCACTAGCGTGAAATTTCTTTTAAATAACATTTTATATGTCTTAATTAATGTTAGGCTTATTAGATATGTTAGTACATATTGATTTGTTGAATCTAAACCGTAACTGATAGTTTATACTACTCATTGAAATGGATTATCAAGTTAGTTAATGTAATGAAAGCTTCATAACTCATATCAATATTGGTTATACAGCTAACGTTTTACAAATTTCGTTTAGGTGCACAACTTGACAACTGTTTTCCGTCCAGTATACGTCGTTATGTGGGACTTATTCTCTGTATTCTGGATTTATTCTTTTTTGGAGGATATCACTATGGATTTAATTCCCTAATTGGTATTTACAAATCCTTGGGTTTATTCGCTTACAACTGCACACAATCTGGTTGTATGTACGACGAAGATATGTTTGGAATCAGCTTTAACGTATGGTTTGTTTCACATTTGTGCCTCATTACATTGGCCGGAATATTTATGGATAGAGTTGGATTGAGACCTTTAAAATTGGTTTCGGCGTTAATGTATTCTGCCGGTACTGTTATGTTTGCTTTTACAACTGGCAAAGTGGCACCACTTTTCTTTACTGCTGGTGCTCTGGTTGCACTAAGTAGTATATGCAGCCTAATTTGTAATCAACAAATTAGTTCAATGTTCCCACATTTTCGTGGAATATGCATATCACTTATTTCCGGAGCCTTTGATTCGAGTACAGTTGTAGCGTATGCTGTATCGAAATATCACCCCTATTTTTCACTTCAGTGGTCATTTATATCTTTATCAATAGGTTCATTTATTATGGGTTGGTTCATAGCAATGTTCATTCTCACTATGAAGTCAGTAGATATGGAGAAATTTGCAAAAACTGAAGTAACGAAATCAGTTTTTCAGTCACGAGTAAGTAAAAGTTTATTATTGTTTAATCATTACGTATGACTATGTTATTAAGTTCCTAGAATTGAAATATCATCGTCACTTGAAATCAATGTTGTCACAAATCCAGACTGCAAAACAACATGTTAATATTCTGTTTTTGTGAACTGCTTTTGTATGAAATATCAAAAGTATGGTGTTTAGGCTACGTGCAGGTCAGTTCGACAAAAAATAAGGTTTAAGCGACTCTATGTTCTGTCTTTTTAAGATGATGTTTAATATGTATAACATACAAACGTTAAAATCTGACATGCTTTGCATCTCCATCCACCAATCGTTCCAGAATCAAGAAATTCATTTAATCATTATACGGCTAGACGAAAACTGAGTTTGTTCCCATTGTGTTATTTATGATAGCGGATGAACACAGTTTCTTCGCGTGTTGGTTATTAATAACAATGAGTGATTTAAGGATCATGTACAGGTTACTCGGAAACTTTATTAATGCTTAGATGACTAGTTTTACGATTGTTTATAATTAGATTGTGTTTATATATTTAGAATTATTTCATAGTTTTACCTTTGTCAAACTGATAACAACATTTTATAGAGCTTTTTTTCTTATTCAAAGGAAAGTTGTTTGGAAGAATCATCATCAGTTGATGTTGACAAAGAACTGTCGAATGTGATTGATGAACGTTTTCCAACACTGAGAAAATGCATCTTTTCAGCTTCGTATGCATTGATTAATTTATGGATTACTCTTGGCTTATTTCGTTTTGCCATATTCTTAAGTCAGTTATACAGACAACTAGTTCATTTGTTTCCAACAGATAAAAAACTAGTTGAACATCTGTTAGAAGTGTCTTCAGTTTTCGCAATGTGCGGCTTTTTCGCAGCACCTGTTTCTGGAGTAATTATTGATTTGTCTTTGAGGTGTTCACGTGATAAAGTGGCAAATATACTGATTAGTAACAAATTCAATGTATCTAATAGAAAAATGTATTATAATTACATTTGTGGCTTAGTACCTGCAATGACAATAATGCCCATATTTGCTATTATTTTAAGTACAATGATGTTTATTCCCAACACGGTTGCAATTTATACAGCATTTGTCTGTTTAGTTATTGTTCGATCATTAATGTTTAGCGCATATGTCAGTTATTTGTTGACAGGTTTTCCAATACGTTATTTTGGCACATTAAATGGTATTTCAAGTGTCATATCTGGTTTATTCAGTCTGTTACAACATATTTTTCTGCACACAAGCGGTACTGTGGCTAACTCAGTGTCGATGGCAGCGTCTATCGGTTTATTTATTACACCTTTTGTACTATTGATGTTAAGACGTTAAATATGTTTTGCAAAAGCTTAATTTATGGGTTTCAGATTTGTTTATTTCAAATATTTCACAAAATTACCTGTGATTGTTCCACTTGCACATATTTAATCAAATGGTTCATCTAATCCTCCCTCCCTTGATGCCCTCTTCCAAAACTGCCCATTTTTGTGCTTCATGCTAGTATGAATTTTGTGATATTTAATTTTACTTTTAAAAAAATATAAATAAGTGAATGAGAAAAGCAATAACATTTTGTACCGATCTCTCTGGGATTTCCATTTAATTATCGTACTGCTTACGTGATTTCCAACCAATTATTCACAATATTTTTCAGCCGAAACATATTGATGGGTTCAATAAACATTGTTTTGAAGTCTTTATCACATCAACATTACAAAATAACTTAAGAAACGGTCTCTCAATTTCTTTCGACCTCATGCAATTGTGTCACGTTCAGAATAATCAGTTCCGTACCGAACGCTTGATAAACTTATTCAGTATAAACTAATACTTACTTACGCCTGTTACTCCTAATGGAGCATAGGCTGCCGACCAGCATTCTCCAACCCACTCTGTCTTGGAACTTCTTTTCCAGTTCCATCCAACTCTTGTTCATTCTCCTCATGTCTATCTCTAGTTCCCGGCGTAATGTGTTCTTTGGTCTTCATCTTATCCTTTGGCCTTGAGAATTCCAAGTGAGGGCTTGTCTTGTGACGCAGTTGGGTGCCTTCCTCAATGTGTGTCCTAATCACTTCTAGCAATTCTTCCTAATTTCTTCCTCTGCTGGGATCTGGTTTGTTCTCTCTCATAGTAGGTTGTTGGTAAAAGTGTCCAGCCAACGGACCCGAAGTATTTTGCGTAGACAACTGCTAATAAGCACATGTATCTTCTGGATGATGGCTTTCGTAGTTCTCCAAGTTTCCACCCCATACAGTAGAACTGTCTTGACATTTGTATTGAAAATCCTGACCTTGGTGTTGGTTGACAGTTGTTTTGAGTTCCAAATGTTCTTCAATTGTGAATATGCTGCTCTTGCTTTACCGATCAGCGCTTTCATATCTGCATCAGATCCACCATATTCATTAATGATGCTGCCCAAATATGTAAAGATTTTTACATCTCTCAAGTCTTCTCCGTCAATTGTGATTGGATTGGTGCATTCTGTGTTGTATAGGAGAATCTTGCTTTTCCCTTTGTGTATATTGAGACCTACTGCTGCTGAGGCTGCTGCTACACTGGTTGTCTTCTCCTGCATTTGTTGTTGCGTTCGGGATAGAAGGGCCAGATCATCTGCCAAGTCCAGGTCGTCAAATTGCATCCTATCTGTCCACTGTATCCCGTGTTTCCTTTCAGATGTTGACGTCTTCATGATCCAGTCGATCATCAGGAGAAAGAGAAAGGGTGAGAGTAAGAAACCTTGCCAGACACCGGTCCTTACTTCGAACGACTTTGTCAACTGTCCTCCATGCACGATTTTGCAGTGTAATCCATCATATGAATTCTGTATGATATTGACTATCTTCTGAGGCACGCCGTAGTGTTGAAGAAGTTTCCATAGTGTTGTCCTGTCCACGCTATTACATGCTTTTTCGTAGTCAATGAAATTGATGTAGAGTGACGAGTTTCATTCAATTGATTGTTCCACAATGATCCGTAGTGTTGCGATTTGGTCTGTACACGATCTATCCTTACGGAATCCTGCCTGTTGGTCACGAAGTTGGGCGTCTACGAAGTCCTTCATCCTGTTTAACAATACCCTGTTGATGAATTTTCCCGGTATCAAGAGAAGAGTTATGCCTCTGTAGTTATCACACTTGCTGAGATCGCCTTTCTTCGGTATTTTGATCAGACGTCCTTCTTCCCAGTCTGTTGGTACTTGTTTCTCATCCCAAGTCTTATTGAAGAGAATGTGGAGTATCCTTGCAGTTGCCGCTACGTCTGCTTTCAGTGCCTCTGCTGGAATGTTGTCTGGTCCTGCTGCTTTGCCACTCTTGATTTGTCCGATGGAAATGCAGATTTCTTCAATTGTTTGTGGGCCAACATCGATTGGGAGGTTCGTGAGTGCTGCTTCGATGTTGAGTGGGTTCAATGGAGCTGGTCAATTCAAGAGTTGTTTGAAGTGTTCTACTCACCTGTTTTGTTGCTCTTCAATGTTGGTGATTACCTTGCCTTCCTTGATTTCCATTGGTTGTCCCGGTTTACGGTGATTTCCAGAGAGTTTCTTTGTTATGTCATACAGTTCTCTCATGTTTCCTTCTCTTGTAGTCTTTTCCGCCGTCATTGCTAAATCTTCCACATATTTACGTTTGTCAGTTCTGATGCTCCTCTTCACCTGCTTGTTTACTTCCGTGTGTTCAGCTTGTGTCTTGGCTTTCTCTGCTCTTGTTCGGCTGATATTGATTGTTTCCTTCTTGTTCCTCCTTTCTTGAATCAAGAGTTATCTATCCCTTGTGATGGTGCTTCTTGTGACCCAGGACCCTATGACATGTTGAAGTGATTGTTTCTTTGATCCCCTTCCAGTTGCTCTCCATGCCTGTAAAACTCAGAATTGATAAATTATTTGCATGAATTGAGACAGTTTTAAGCATCAAGTACAAAATTAGTAATGCATGTACAATACGGTCAAGTATCAATTTATTATTTCAGAATTGCCTATTTATGTGACATTTGTAGAGGAACTGACCGAAAGCAAGAGAGATAATTAAAATGCAAGACAAATATTGATCCGAAAAAACTGAAATGACAATATGCAAATAAGAGTAGACGAAAATAACACTTAGAACCAAGTAATATATCGGATGAAAAAATAATCACAACCGTTATGTGATGTTTTACTTCAGGCTTTCTTTTTGAGTAACGACCATAAATGGACTTCATTCAACTATTAAATATTCTCCCTTTGGATTTGTCATTGACGGCATAAAGAGAAGTATATTACCAACAACGTTAATTATACGTCATCTAGGTCACTAGTCCCAAGCACTGTAATGTGGCCTAAAAGGGCAGTACAACATTGTTGTACTCTTCAGTCAATGGCGTGACCAATAAAACAGAAACAAAACTGTGTAGGCACTATTTGTTTAGATGCCGAAAGTAATGGAAGGATCAGTTAAGTAACAAACGAAGTCTATTCACAACTGATACAATTAAATAGTAAAAATATCGAACGTCATTGTGTTACGTATACAACATCTTACAAAAAGGATAGATATGATATTTTATTATAGTTATAAAAATTGTGTGTCAATATACATTGCATTAAGTGATGCACGATTACATAATTTACACAACAGATCGATTTTAGTAATACAGCCTTTTAAAACCAGGAAGGACTGGGCAGCTATTTCATCACAGTATTAGTTTACTGTAATATGCATTCGCAACTACTCTAGGGTTTGGGCCCTGAACTTCAGACAGCTGAGTTTGAGTTCACTAGTTTAAATCTCTAATTTCAGTCAATTTAAGATATTGTGTGATCACCATCAATACTTATTTTGTAGCTTAAATCATGTTAAACATGTTTAGAATCCACCGATCATAGGTTTTTATCAGAACTCTGCTAACCTGATCTCGAAGTTTTCATCAGTGAACACATGATTATTATTAGGTTGGGATTTAGAAAAGTTGATCAGCTTGCAGTAAATAACAAATATTTACGAATCTCTCTCGCCTTCAATTCTTAGAATTATCAGATGATCTTTCGCTTAAAATAACATTGGTATGTACTTTACATTTGCTTGAGGAGCAAGTCGTATCATCGACACAAAACCAGGTATTTAGAACGTGTCCGAGAACTATTCCAACTGGCGGTCAAAAACATCACGGCAGTTGTAAATTCTGGTCACGGTGTCCCACCAGAATAATCTTCTAAAGCTATCCATAGATTAAAACCATTGACTCAAAGAGGGTACATCTTAAAAACTTACTGAATAAAAAAGCTTTTACAATCCACCAATTCAAGCCTACTATATATGTATAAGCGCTATTTGTTCAATCCCTCATCCCACAAAGATCTTAATCACTCACTCATTCTTTTATCCATATTCATCAAGTGAACAATTATCTCAAAACTGTCTTCATCTCAGAATTTTTCACTGGCTAAGAGACCATTAGACAAACTTTTCTCAGTATTTGATATTTCCGAATCGTTTATGATATAATTCCACTCTATTTTCTAACCGACTACCATATTATCTTAAATAAATATAAATACAACAGTATAACTTCAGAACAACATATATAAGCGAACAATATTGTTTTCGATTAGATCCTCATCAGGCTTTACTCTAATATACAGTAATATTTATATGCATATACGAAATTATTAAACCAATCAAGGTAGTTTATAAGTCAATGATAACAATGGAAAAGATTACATAATAAGTAAAATGTGAAAAGTACAAATTGATGGTGTGACAACAGGTGCATTAGTTTTTTGATAAGCAATAATAATAAAGGTTCAAATCAATGTTACATAATCGGAAATAAGTCAATGATTAGAAAAATATAGAAACTGAGATAACAATTATAAAATTATAACATGACGTAATAAGAAATGTTCAGATAATTGAACCGCGAAACGTGAAGAAAAATAATAAACGAAGCGAAAGCTTGTAAAATAATAAATAAATTCATTTATTAAGGCCAAGGGAGAGATAAAGGTGTTACAAATTTCTTCTGAACAGAAAGACTTGGCTTGTTGGCTCGAATTCCTATAGCTTCTGCTATGTGTAAGTGAGGAGAGCGAACAGTAAATTATGTTTACGGAAGCCAAATTTTCACTGATTAGTTTTTGTTGAATCAAATCGATAAACTTTCAAAAACCAATTTGATGCTTTTTTCCTTGAAATTTTACACCAGTTTGCAGTAAGAAAAAACAACTAAAATTGTACTGATGTGAATTAAACACATGTTTTTATGTTTTTCAGTCTTCAGAGAAAATAACAATAGTGTGAGTCTGATTGAGATATTTTATCAGGGCTTCTTAAATAAACCATAATATTTTGATAACAATATGTGATTAACATAATAGTAGTAACTGTTATCATCTTTGTTGATTTCTTGGTAAAAAAAGAATTTACGTTTTTAAACCAGAAATTCGTCCATGATAAATTATTTCACTGAATACAGTATAAAATTCACTGAAAGAGTTATCAAGGGAACTTAAATAATAAACAAGATATATTAATTACTCTTTCAGATAAAAGAAACTAATTTCTGTAGGTATGAGATAGTGATCGAGA